TCAGTTTGAAACCACACTCAAGGCCAAAAAATGACAACTAGACCTATCAGAAGAAAAGCTAAACTCCTCGAAATCCACCCTGCTCCCAGCTCCCAGCCAATCAAGAACCACAAATACCTTGTAGAGGTGTGTTGTGAGCTGGGAGGGAGCAAAAATGTTGACTCTCTGGGGGTCCTCAAAGACCGGGTTGGGAAACATTGGCACAGGGGACGTTAAAGCGGCATACAGACACGTAAAAAATCCAGGGACCACCAGAAAGCACCAGTAGAGAAGCAAACTGCAACCCCTGGCACAAAATACATCAAATTAAGTTTATCCCACAAAAGGAAAGCATTGTATGTGTATTGTATTTCCCCAAAATATTCTATATGTCGGGGTGAATGGAAAACCCTGTCTAGCTACGTTCAGTAGTGGCTTTCACACTTGAAGAACGCTGTATACATGCCACTGCACTGCAGCCCTCATAATGCTGCACCTTGAGATTCTGCTGCCATTGTGGCTGCAGTGCCCTGGTGTCTAGAGGAAACTGTGAGAGACCCCAGTCCTGTGTCCTACACTTACACTGCAAAACAGTTCTGCTGATTAGAGGAAACTGTGAGAGACCCCAGTCCTGTGTCCTACACTTACACTGCAAAACAGTCCTGCTGATTAGAACAAGCTGTATTATGTTTTTCAATCCCAGGGAAGAAGTTCAAGAGACTGATGCAGTCCACAGGGGGGGAATGCTTTGCATATTACTTGTTGCACTTTATGAGAATTGTAAAAATCCCAGAAGTCAACCAAAAAAAAGAGAGCTTTTGGTTTTTTGAGGAAGTTCATCTGTACATTTGCTCTGATGAAAACAACCAAAAATCACTTAACCTGTGAACCAAATAATGAACCAAACCCTGAATATTTTTACCTTTGCAGTAGGCATGCAACGATGAATTGCAAATGTATGACGATTTAAACCGGCTGATGCGGAAAATGAACTGAAAAAAATTTAATTCGTTTATTTATTTGAGGATTTTTTTCAAACAGTATTTTATTCAATTTCAGTTGCACCTAGCAGAGATTACAATACCCAGCACCAGTGTGTTGTGTGTCGTATTGCCAAAGTACTCCCACACCAACATCTTTTTACCTAGTTTATCCACAATATCTCCCTTTTAAAGAGATGTTGGGGCTGCTGCGCTTTCTTCAACACCGAAGTTCATTCTGAGGGAGCGCTCTTCTCTCCCCATGACTCATGAGTATTACCAGAATAGCAGGATGTGGAGCGCTAACTCAACAAACCATGCTGTGCGTTTGTTGTGACTAGGTGAATGGAGGCAGGTCAGGTTATTTTAGTCAGCGCCAAAAACGCCGCTGATAGCATTCTCCGTGGAGTATCGCTGTGTGGATTTCTCACGGACTGAATTTTACCGTGCACTTTCGTGTTGGACTTACCCTTATTGGATAAGGTGCTTTGGACTTACCTGCTTTCCCGGTGAGTCGCCCTATTGTTTTGGCTGTGTCGTCTTTCGTTTGCCTGCCTGCCATATTGCATTCTCTTTTTTATTCCATTAATCCCTTTGTTTGTGTTTTTACGGCTGGGTCTGTGCTTTCGCTCCATCGCCAGTCCCGACAAGCAGTCAAAGAGGAAGTGGAGTCATTTCATTGTGGCGCAAAACATATTGCCAGGTCTCAAATGATGCTGAACATTTATCGAATGTTCGCTACATTGATACGGATGGGAAATAATATCACAGTATTTTCCATTATCGTTTTATCGCCCAGCGCTACCAGTACAGCCCCTTTCTCGCAACTAAACCATCCCAACATCTTTAACATCAAATAACCATACACCATGTGGCTATATGATATTTCTGACCCAATGAACTCTCAGTTGAAGGGAAGCCATTTGCATTACTGACCACCTCACCTTCAAATAAGACATTTAAAACGGCTGTGATTCTAGCTAGATTAGCAAATGGTGGAACCTGTTGCTAGCAAACACAGGAAACCCAAGGGTAGCGTCAATAGTGTCACCGACAGTTACTCCGTCCACACCCTAATTAAACAGATGGAATCCACCCTCCCCCCATGAATGGACGAATAGAGAAGCAGAGTTCCCCTAAACAAGGTGTTGCTACGGTTTCTCTTCCTAACACCGAATGCAATATGGCCCTTAAGGGCTATCCGGTCCATTGCCCGCCCATCCACTGCCCATCCACCAGCACTCTCCCTGCTTCACTCCATCATCCCTGGGCCTGCATGCTTTTCCCTCTGCAGCTCGTAACCCCCTGAGACCCCACCCATTCATTTATGTCCATTGCAGTGGACATTTTATTTTTGCATCTATCTTTTCACTGATGTAAGGAAACGTATTTATTCCTGTTGTGCACTAAAGAGGACATGCTGTGAAATTAAAAATAAAAATAAATAAGAAAAAATCTAAATTGTAAGATGTCTTATTTCCTCCAAAGACAAATTAAATTGAAGGACACTTTTTTCCTTGGGTCTCAGGAGAATATATTTCATGTTGTTTTCTTATTAAACTCTGCTGCACTTGAAAACTTTGTCACTGAAAAAAAGGTTCGTCCATTCAGACATTCATTCGTCAGATTCTTTTTTTTTTGCATTGAAAGATGAACACTACTATGCTGAGGTACAGAAACGTGGGCATTTTCACCTATTGTACAGTTCGGTGTGTAACAGTAACGACACAGATGGGCAGGATATCAGACTCCACCACATTGCCAAGGCACTGTTCACCTTTAAGCAACATCGCATCTGCTGTAATTAACATTATAGTATAAAACTCTTATTGGTAGTTTAGTAATTTTGTCTCAGACCTCTGAATTTGTCATTCTGGAAGCTATTTAGTCATTAAATCAAAAAGCAAGTGCAAAGGATGACAAAAGGAGCAGGTCTAGATATCGGGCCTCATGACAGTAATATGATCATAACTTTGGAATAAAATGGTAATAAAAGTGCATCCTCTCAAGTTCTGCCTGCACTAAATTCATTGGATATTTCTGCAAAACGCTGTAATAATGCTAGACAGTGAGAAGCGTCACTGTCGGCTCCTCCCTGTCTCTGTACAGCCACTGACTGCTATGATAAGACGGTGGACTTTACTGGCCCCTTGTCTCGTCAGAAAGAGCACAGCATGCCCAGTGGTCAAGCATTCATCTCTCTGTACAGAGAAAAGGAGCATTTATCAGCCCTTCAGAACTAATGTGGTGAAGCCAGTGGTTGCAACTCCCAGTCCTCCAAGACTTGGTAAGATGGTGCATTTGTTACTCATCATTTGTAGCTGCTGCACAGTGCTGTACTCAGAGACGGACCAAGGTAATTACAGCAGATCCCATACAGGGAGAGTCTGCTTTATGTGGTACAATAAGCAAAAGCCCATTTCAAAGACTGCAATCAACATCATTTCTCCTTTTTACACTATATTCAAGGCAGATATGGACAAGTTCAACCACGAAATTTCTGCCATACTAGATAAATCCCTGAAAGGCCCCGGAAAGTTATTGAGTCAGTGTGGGTGGGAGGACTGTAGAGGTCCTGCCTCATAAAACTCTAGTTATATCCTGGAAGCTCGGGCAGGGAATAAGGCAGGATGGGGAGCCAATCCATGGTGGGGCGCACGTGGTTCACTCACACTTTACACTTACGGACAATTTGGCATCTCCGGTTCACCTTAGCGTGCTTCTGGACTGTCGGGGGAGCTGAGCCAAGGCAGTGACTCAAACACTGGTTTGAGGCAGCAGTGCTAACCACTGCACAACTGTGTCTCTCCCTCACAAGATACATAATCACAAAATATGTGAAACACAGGACCTCACCCCAGAGGACAAAACTCATAATGTACATACACACACACACACACACACACACACACACACACATAGCATCTTACATTATGCCTGGCCAGAGATGTTATTATAAGAACCGAATGTGTAAACTTGTACCAGAGTATGGGATTATACACAACAACAAGACAGTTGGGCCAGAGTTGGGGAGAGACCGCCACTAAATATTACATAGACACATGCACACATACATGCACAGTTCATATATTCCTATCATTGTTGGGACTCTCCATTCATTTCTATGGGCGTAACCCTAATCCCAACAATGATAAACTTAACCCCTACCCAGCCCTGACCTTAACCACAAGAAACCAAACAAAATACAAGATTTTTGGCTATTTTAATTTTTTTTATTGCATTCGTAGATTTTTTATTTTTTATTTTATTAAATTATTTTTCGACTAAATTTTTAAATAAAATTATGTTGCGGGGACCTCAAAAAATGTCCCACAAGCTAAAAAGTAAGAGGTTTTGCCACATTGAGGGGACACGTGTGATGAATAGAAACCCACGCGCACAGACGGGCACACACACCTAGTGGGAACACCAGAAAAATCCAGATTGTTTTGAATGGGTCTCTTGACAGCTTGCCTAGTCTTACCATAGCCTAGCCTTGTGTGCCCCTGTGATCCTGATAAGCAGTTAGAAGATGGATGGATGGATGAGTTAGTTATAAAGCTTTGATTTTGGAAATAATGTGCAATGCCGAATAAAATAGTTTAGTAACAGCTGCTGCAAAGGATTAAGAAACTCATAATATGAACACGTGTCAAATCTATTTTGGTATTTGTAACATTTAAACGGAAACACTCGCTATGTCAGTGGCTGCACCAGCATACTGTACGTGCTGGCCGCCTGTCCGAAAAAATTCTAATTACATGTAATTTCTGTAGCATGAGAAATTGGGTTTCAATCAAGTGTGCAACAGGCTTAACATCGCTAATATATGCGGGGAATCGAAGAAGCAACATGTGCACTTGACGCGATGCATTGTCGTGTTATGAAAAACATGTTACAGCTGCCACTTCGGTCCATATATGAAGTCGCCCTAGTTCACTTTATAAAATGTGGCTCAATAAGGTGCATTAACTGCGCCTTCTTGTATGACCCATGTAGTTTGAAATGCAATCAGAACTTTACAAATTGTAAGAGGCTCACCTGCTTGTCCAGAGTCTCTTTGCCTATAGCGGAGACTTTCGGCGCGGGCACGCGCTCGCAAGTACATCCCTCTAACAAATAAATCCCAGATGGTCGAGTGCTCTGGTCGTTTTCGAAATAAAATAAAAGATTTTGATGCAATGCGAAATATTTATCGTGCCATCGACTGTTATCCGTGGTCTTCTTGCAGAGATAGCCTCGTTTGGTGCCCTCCTTGCGCGCAAGCACGGAGAGATAAAGAGCATGCCCTTCATTGTACCGCACACTTTTCTGCATTTTCCGATTCAGTGTTTAAAGGGTGTTATTTGTACCACATCCTTCAGTTCCACAGCCTTTGCAGAAAACTGATGAAAAATAAAAATGCATCCAAGCCCTACCACCGGAGCGAAAGGAAAAGTTAGTCTTCTTGAGTAAGCTGAGCTACAACCCATGTCCCAAAGGCGCTTTATCCATAGTAAATCACCAAATTCATGCTTGCATAAATGGAAGTTTTTTTGTCCCTAAAACGAAAATGTTTGCGATTTAACTAAACTAAATACATGCAGAATTTTAAAAATCATTTGTAAGCTTGACGTGCTGACACCGCTGTTAAATAAAAGTGGATTCATCGAAGATCGGAAGAGACGGTGATAGCAGAGTCTGAGCTGAGAGGAGCCGTGATCGGCTTTGACACCGAGGGGTAGGTCTGCCTTTAGAAATGGCTGATTTATCAGCTGCGCTGTCTGCAGTGATCCCTGCGCTTCAGCCGAATAGATTTTCATTTCTAGAAACAAAGGACAGTTTGCATGCTGGGTTATTTATACATCGCTCCGTACCGGTTCTGTTAGAGTTTGCAGGCTTTCAATTCGTTTTCGACGCGGAAATGACTTTAAAGTGTTTGAGAAAGTATCAGAAGACAAGACAGAGGGAAGGAAGTTTATATTACAATGTGGACGTGCTGGAATTGATAGTGAAATGTTGTGTATAAACTGTTTAATATAAATGCTGCAATAAAGGAATGATACAGTGGGTTGCACGCCTCCAGGTTTGTGGGATCGAATCCCACCTTTGCTCAGTGACTGGGGAGATTGTACAGTATGTTCTTCCCATGTTCTCCAGGTTTATGTCAGGAACTCAAGTCCAAAGACATGCAGTTAGCCTGAATGGTGTCTCTAATTCACGCATAGATTCTGATTGTGCGTAGCATGAGAATCCGTCAGAAGACGCATGTATGGTTTAATTATAAAGCTTTAGTTTTTAAACTGAACAATGACGATTAAAATTAGTTACTCATAATAGTGCCACGAGTAAAATGTATATATTTTGCTCGTTAAAAGCCAAAATTAAGATGACAGTACTGGCTGAATGCAGAAGTAGTTGCAATGTTATTGTATTGTGCATTGATTAAAAGAATTATTATAATATTGTTGTTATTATTATCCATCCATCAATATAACCACTTAATCCCAACTGGGGTTGCGGGGGACCGGAGCCTATCCTGGGAGCAACAGGCACAGGCAGGAACCCACCCTGGGCAGTCGCCAAAACACTGCAGGGCACATACACACAGTCACTGGGCAACCAATTAACCTACTGCACTAACTTGTGGACTGTGGGAGGAAACTGGAGCCCCTGGTGGAAACCCAAGCAAACACAGGGAGAGCATGCAAACTCCACACTCCATACGGCCGACCTGGGGACCAAACCCAGGACCTTCTTCCTGTGAAGCAGCAGCGCTAACCACCACACCAGCCCTTAATACCACTACTACCACTACTACTACACATCTGTTAAGTGCATTTGTAAATAGAAATTGAGCGCTAGTTTGATAATATAGACAGGAACACGACCGGGGCTGGAACTTAAGAATTTTCGTTACTATCCAGCAGGGTTGGTTTAGTGAAAAAGGTTGCTGACATGTAATTGTTATACTACCCAGTGGGCTGGTCTTCAGGTTTTATTCACCCTGCCTCTAAATTACTTACCTTACGATTATTGTTCTTGGGGGACCAGAACGTTCGCATTACCATCCTGACCTCCCTACATCTTCTTGTCTCTCCCCTCCTCCAGTCACCTTCCACCTTAGCCTTCACTCCATCTCCCTCATTTGCTTCTCCTCCCTTCCTTCCCCTGAGGAGTTCTGTCCCCTCTCCTCCGAACCAGTTCGTCCACAAACCTCTCGCCTCTGGCCCTCATGCAACAGATAAGGCTCAGGATGACTGAGAGGAAATGGTGGAATGCAAGGTGGCCCTATGGGTCTGTATCGATAGCTTTCATCATCTTTCCCTGCTACCATCACTGCTGTTAATACCACCTACCACCAGGACCAGATCATCGCCGTCCCAGACACACACAGAGTATTCTTCACTTACATCACCCTCCTCGACCTCCCTACGCCCCCTCCACCCACCACCTTCAGTGCTGATGACTTTTTACAATCTTTCCATGAGAAGATGGCAGCCAGTTCTCTGCACCCACCACTCGCATACAACCCACAGACCTTCCCTCCAGAAAACACCACAGTCTCTGCTCCTATTACTGCACAGTTTGCTGACTTCATAGACTAGATGAAAGGATCTTCACCACCAGCCACACCTCTCAAAGAAATAGCTTCTTGTAATTTTCTCTGCCAGCCCTACCATTCACCAGGACATCACTATGCAGCTTGGATCATCAACACTGTCCACAATGGGACTTTGGGTTAATACAGATTTATATCCGGAAGATCAGTCTTTATTTGTTTGAGTATGCGGCTCGGATTCTAGTCCAGGCACTTGTTATCACCTAGACTGCAATAGCTCCTTACTGACAGGTCTTCCCATTTCAGCTGTTAATCAACAACAGATTACATTAGCGAAATGCTTTTATGTCTCACCCCTCCTTGTCTCTCTTCATTGGCTTCCTATAAGTGTTTGCATCAAGTTTAAGTCGATAATCCTGGCTTTTAGAGCAGTTAATGGAACGACACCCGTCTCCAGCAGGTTCCTCATCAAGATCTCACCCTCCTCAGTCAGCAAAACAGCACTGCCTGGAGATTGGCCCACCACACGAACAGTTTATTTCTAGATATTTCTTTGTGTGGTTCTTCAATTATGGAAGGAAGTACCCATCTTCATTCAATCGTCAGATTCCCACTCCATCTTCAAGAAACACCTCAAGACTCATCTGTCCGCAGATCACCTCATTCAGTCCTCCTATTCCTGATCGCTTCCATCTTCACCTGTAATCCCTTAGCTGGTCTCTTGAGTATCCTGAATGCTCTTTATTAGACTTCTCTTTTATTAGGTTTTTGCAGTGTTTGTGTGTATGTGTTGTATAGCTGTCATCGAATGTCAACTTGCACTTCTTATTGGTCGCTCATTGGGAGCTCAGCCTAGCTACACATGTATGTAATGTACTATCTCCCTAAGGGTCAAATCCTAGGGTCACCCCTGGTAATAGTGACTAAAATATTTGTTTAGCTATGTCATACACTTCACAAGAATTTAGACTAATTATGCTGCAGTAGAACACTATATTTATACCGGACTGACAAAATTTCTGGCCTTCTTTGTTTAGTGTTGATCTGCTGTGGCACAGCCATCACTAAACCTGTATAGGATTGCGAATAAAGAAAAATGTGGTCTTAAGGAGTCTCTGATCCAGACCTCCATCTCAGACACTGCAGCGGCAGACTGCCACGTTATAGTGTGTGTGTACGGAGGGCTGGCTGACTGCACACAGTGACTTATTTCAGAAGAATGTGATGTAATATGATCCAGTAACAAATCCAGCTGTATTACGAACAAACACAGGAGTATTTGAATGCAGACTTGCTTGATATGCCTATGGATAAATCACTTTTATGTACCCAAACACGTTACACTTTTGTTAGAAGGTGCAACAGGACCACAGACGCCCATGAAAATTGTTGACGACATGCCAAAATGCCTCCTTCTGTCCCAGGTGAGCTTGAGCTGACATATTTCCAAGTATTGCTGCAAAACAGAGCTGCATTTTGAGAAGATCGGAAAAGCCCTGCTTCCTGTAGTCTGTCCGCTCTCCGTCTTCTGTGAGAGGTGTTTGACGGCATCTACACATTTCATTGAACCTGCCTCAAAATTAACAGCAGCAGTAACTTTCTGAGTTCACTTGATGAGTCTGGATCACACGCGAGGTGTTCTGTGCCTGTCAAGGAATAAGACGAGCATTGATTCACTAAAGGATTAAATGTCAGACCTATTACTTGGTGCTCTGCAAAAGTATAACCAATCATTCATAGTCATTTGAGAATTTTTAATTGATCTATTTTTAACCTATTTAAAAAAAATTTTTGTAGCTTTCTGTACCATTCATCAGAAGTGGACATTTCAGGTGCAGAAAGTAAAAATCCAGACCAGGATTTTGTTTCAACCAACCAGTTGAGTACTGTAAGACTGTGACTCTTTATGCTCAGCTGGTTGGTTGAAAAAAATGTTTACTTTCTGGACCTGAAATGTCCACCTCTGCCACTCATATTCATATACTATACTCTGAACAGTACATAATTAGCAACAACCAATATAGATTTAACAGATATTGTTAGACTTTAAATGAACTCCCACTCCAAGTTTGTGAAATTAGTACTGCATAATCCTTTGTTCTTTTTTTTACCTGTATGTATGGCAATTTTAATACGGTCATAAAAATAGACCTGTAAAATAGCCCTAGAGTATGATTATAAATAATAATAGCTGATGCTTCATTGATCCCCATGGGGAAATTCTCCTTTCACCTCCTCCCTCTTGCTCTCTGTTGGTGAGAGTAAGCTGGTCATGAAGGGCAGCCACCTGTTGTGGTGCCCGGGGAGCTGAGGGTTAAGGACCCACAGAGGTGCCAAGGCCAAGCCTGAACTGGCAAACTCAGGTACAGAAGCATAGGCGCCTGAGCCACACGCTGCTTATGTGAGCGTGTGAGTGTTTGTGCCCCGCGACGGACTGGCGTCCTATCGAGAGTGTCGCTCCTGCTGGATACTTACACTCCAGGATCCGGGTTTCCTACCCCGGCTCTAGTCTCTGTGCTGCCTGTCATAGGCTTCAAGATCCAGGATCCCTGTTAGCTTGTTCAGGGTGGGTGGTTGGGAAATGGATGGATAATTACAGGGTTGGGGTCTCAGTGCCACTCGCAGCTCTCTCTGCATTTGGCCAGGCTCTCTCTGTATTGTATTCAGTCAACATGTTCAGACATAAGGACTCTAAGGGAATCGTTCTTTGGATGTACAGTGGTCAACAGTATTTGGGGGCCTGGAGTCAGCAGAGCATGCTGTGACCACGCTGAGACAGGGCGATCACTCCATCTCTTTGATGGGAAACAAGCTGAGACGGGACCCCAGTGGTAGCTGGGGCTTGTGGCCCCCAGGGACCAGGGACGGCTCCCCCTTGGGGTTCGACGCAACATTTTGTTTGGGTCCCCAGTACCCATCAGCCATTTTTACCGTTCTGCTTTCCTGATGTGGCATATGGTGTTAGAGATAAGCTGGGTATCTTACCGCAGTACGTGCGGTTAATTGCCATTTAAGGCACGATACCCTTATCAGCCCTTCTAAATTTGTGTGTTTACCTGCTGTATGCTATGGAATGACCAATGGCTGATCTTGGCGAGATGGGCAGTTGGCCAGGGTGGGGCACCAGCTTTGACCGTCAGCTCCCCCTCCACCCGACCACAGCTATTTCCCTGGGCTGACATGGGCTTTGGGGGGCACTGGGGATGCCACACTGCTCCAAGCCCGTGTGTTTGCGTGCATGTTTTGTGTGATGTTTGTGTGAATGTGTGATGGATGTTTTACGCCTGTGCATGGGTGTATCTCTATCTCCGTTTTCAGCGAAAGAACATAAGAACATATG